TGACTAAAAAAGGGGAAAAGACATGGCTGACAGCGTGAAAAAGATATCCCGGGATCTGTTGCCATTGTAACATCGTGCAGGAGCATAGCAGGGCTTGTGCCTAGAGTCTAGAGTCTATGTCTACGTCAGTCAACCAACTGGCAGCGGGTCAAAAGCGCTTGTGGCCGCAATCCTTCTGAACATGGAATATTTGCTGATCATCGCTTGCAAGCAATCATGGCAAGCAAACTGTCCAACGCGAGTTGGCAAGTTTGGGCAGCAGAGCAGAGGGTGCCCGGTGTCTGACGCAGACATCCATCCCAGCTTGCTGAAGGCAGCCAGGATCTCCTGGCTTGATTGATGCCCTGCCAGCAAGTAGAAAGTCTTTCTCTTTCTGCTTCTTGTTGCCGCGTAACTTCGCATACCAAATGCCTTGTCCTTGCAATGACCTAGCAGGGTGAGAGAACTCACTATTCGCCAATCATGGAACATTGTCTATATACTTTCAGCATTACCAATGCAGAAATGGGTTTGGAACTTGCCCTACCATCGGAGCTCTCATGTAGGCAAGGCCAGCAAAAGTCTTCTCCTTTTGCTTGCTCTTCCACGACCTGGCTGAATGCCTTGACTTGTGATTGAAGGGCATGTGTCGATTTGCAAGGCTAGCCTTCGCGAAACACCCTTCACCATTACACGGGCGGCGTCACAAGCAGGCCCAAACTTCGAATCCACAAATGCTGCGCCGAGCAACAAGGAATACAAAAAAAACTCAGCACAAATGCTCCCATTTCTTCAACCAGATTCTAGAATATTTAAGACAACTGCTCCAATTGTTCTATCAATTTCTTAAGACAACTGATCGAATACTGTATGTTTATATACAGCAATCAATTTCTTGGGATAATCGTTTCAATACTCTCCAATCAAAAACCATTGACAGACACATGGTCCAAGTCCTCAAGTTCACTCTTTGTCCATCTATCCTCCTTCTCCGACCCAAATGATGGGCTGCACCTCCAAACACCCCTCAACTGCCCGAAGAAGGGAAGAAGGCAGCCTGACGGTCGCAAGAGCATGGGATCGCATCTATAGCATGCATGTACGCAATCACCAAGAAATGTCAAAAGGAAAAATATGATTGAGGTAAAGTACAAGTCAACATTTGTAAAAGCTGGCAATTCTGTTCAGGCAATGAGGCTTTGGAAAAGTCTCTGGGAAGACAAACTGGTGACCCAAAAGAGCGCCTCCAGTGCACAGGGAGGCCAGGGCTGATGTAGGTGAGCGGTCCTGGAAGGCACCTCTGCAAGCCCTTGAGTTCTGCCGAGCTTTTTTCAACGCAAGTTGTCCATGGTGGATCGATTCCCCAGCCACATTTGCGAGTAGCGACTGTACGTTTGGCTTGGTTCTGAGACCGGTCCTCCACCACGAAAGATGAGAGAAAGTCAAGCCTCAGTCACACCGAGCGCAATACATCAGCAACACCTGTGAAATGTACACTGCAGGACTCTTACATGACAAAGTCTGAATCCCCAAAGTGGCTGCCAACTTAATTTTTCAACGCAACGCCTCTCATCCAATTTGTTGAGACTTGCTGACCCCAATATCCCTCGAACATCCATGCTGCAGAAGGGATACCTGAAAGCAAAACACTTGAGTTTTAGAGTGATTGAGGGAATGGCCACCTATGGAACTTCAAAAGGCAAAACCCTGCTGCACTAAGCGTGGACATCGACATCGAAGGTTCTAGGCATAGTGATGCTCCAAATCTAGCACATAGTTCATTGGCTTGGCCACAAGGCATTCTCTTTCAGAAATGGCTGGATGCACAAAGGACACCAAGCGAGATTCGAGGCGGCGGGACCCGCGGCTGAAGGTGTGGTGTTATTTTTTTCTCTCTCTCTCTCTCTCTATCTTTTTTTTCTCTCTCTCTCTCTCTCTCTTTTTTCTCTCTCTTTTTCTGTCTTTCTCTCTCTCTCTCTCTCTCTTTCTCTTTCTCTTTCTCTTTCTCTCTCTCTCTCTCTCTGTCTCTCTCTCTCTCTCTCTCTCGCTCTTTTTTGCTCTGCCAGGCGAGAGAAAGGAAAGGAAAGGAAAGGTGGCAAGGAAGAGTGGGCCGCAGAGTGGGCAGAGTGGTCCGCGGCGCAGAGGGCTCAGTTTTGCTATTTGTGGAGAATTTGGATGGGAAGGGCAGGGTATCCTTATTGAGGATACAATTGATAGAGCTACTCTCAGGGTTGGACATGATGGAGAATGAGGCGCAGCATATGGCAATCACACAAACTGCACCGGGTTTTAGACGTCGGACTTCATGCATGTCCAGCCTCAGGTGGTTTGAAAAGGACAATGCTTTTTGACCCGTTGGTCAGCAAACAGGGGCTAGGCTTGGTGCGCAAATCCACTTGTGGTGGAGAGGTCCATGCATATAGGATTGTATTCCAAATCAATTGAAGAGCCCCTTGCTCCGGTTGCCTCACAAAAGACCGCCAAAAGACTAAGGCCCTAATGTAGGGAATGAGGCACCTCCAATGCCCGGGACACTTCACCAGCCCCAGCGAACAGTTCCAAAAAGTCCAAATCCTGCCAGGACTTAAGGACTCAGATCCTGGAAGGCAAGCCGGGGCTTGGGATGCAGGGCTTGGGTTGAAGGGGGTTGGGGTGAAGGCCAGTCCTCAACCTGAGCGGTGTTGGTGCTGAACCCCAAAAGCAGCCATGCCAAAATTGCCATTTTCGGCACCCTGTACGGAAGCATTTCCGCCACCACCATAGCTAGGAGTTCCACTTTGGATCCTGAGCCAACTTCCTTGAGATCCTGAGCTAAAGCTTATTGAAGCAAAACATGCGTATGCACTGTATGCACCATGCGCTTGAACTTGTCTAGGCAAAGCTAGACCAACTCTTTCCCACCTGGAGACGCTGAACTTAGAACTTTAGGTTCGGATGCGTGCTCAGGGGCCTAGTGATTGTGATTTGGTTCAAGCAGCTGCGAGTAAACCGCCCAAGACAGCCTGCTTTCATTTTTGTTCTGTCAGTCATTTGTTTGCTGGGTTTGTTTGCTGTTTGCTCCTTGGCTGCGAGGGAAGGACGTCTGACTGTTGCGTTATAGGTAGCCACCATCCTAACAGGCCTGCCTTATAGTCTCTCGAGGATGGACAGCCTAAGTAACGTCGTGTAATACACTACAGTCCGCCCACTTTTGGTAGCAGACGCTGACTCATTGTCGTTGGACATTCCCCAACCTGCGTTGACAGCAGAAGCTTCGTGAGGGCAGTGTGCGCGCTACCCATGCTTGGGCCTTTGTGGTCAGACCAGGTGAGCAAATAGTAGCCACAACACACGCCTGACATAGACTTTGTGACTCAGTCAAGCCCTTAACAGCCATAAGCCAGACATATCACACATGCTTGAGAGCTGATACATGAACGTAAATTTAAACTTTGCATGTGTGCAGACATGCTGACGTGCGCTCACAAATTGGCATGACGCAAAGCAACATACATACAAACAGATATGTCTATATATCTTACAGACATGCCAGCAAAACTAAACGCTGCTCTCATTTACTCACTACTATCCGCGCCCTGAACTGACAAAGTTTTTCATTTTGTAGCTTATTCATCTTTATTCTTTGCAGACCAGAATCCAAACAGATGATGAGGGAGGAAGACCTAGGATTTACTTCAGTCAAGGGAGCGCCGGTTACGGCTTTGCTAGAGCGCCGGTGACGGCAGTGCCTTCGGGCCACCCCAACCCACCCTCCCCCCTACCTCCTTGCACCTAATCTGTTGCTATCCCACCCGCTATCTAGGTGCCTTTCCTTCTGTTCTCCTGTCCTAGTCCTAGCTACCCGGGCGGTCTAAGATTAAAGTCCCGCTCGCTAACTATTGCGTTTAATTCATACTGCTAAGTAATCAGTAACTAAAAGTTTTCATAACTAGTGGGCCTCGTCGCTACACCTCTCTGCCCTCTTGCCCTCTTCGGTTTCTCTTTCGGTCTTTCTTTCCTTTCTCTCTAAGGCTTGTTGGGTGGCTATTAAAGTGGCGCGCCGCTTTTGTCGGTTTCCGGACAGAGATGTGTGGTCCTCTACCCCTATCTTTCCTTCTTGCCTTTTTCCTCTTGCTCTTTCTGTCTTTCTTTCCTTTCTTCCTAAGGCTTGTTAGGTGGCTATTTAGGTGCTCGTGATCCTGGACCATCCACATCTCGTTTTTCCACGGAAACTTTTCCGAGCGCCGGGCCACGGCTCTGTGTGTGTGCGTGTGTCGCTTCCTGTTTCAAAGGACATACACAAAAAATTAAAGGCATGGGGGATGCCGGGGATCTCCATGGTCGGCATCCATCGAAGACACCATGGTTTTCCTGTACATTAATCAGGGACGCCTGACTCACGTACCTGAACTTTTTCAACCTTCTCCGTCTCACCCTTGTTAAGCAATACAGTTGACGCGGGCTCCTTGACCATTCTGTTTGCAAGTCAGGGTCTAGTTTGCAGCGGGTATTGTATTCACTAGAGTGGGCTACCTTCACTGATTCAGATGGATGGCAACTTGCCAATAAATACACACTTACTTGGTTTAAGCAACTATGTGTGTTTGATGCACAGTCTACAAGGACTGAGCACCGCCCAGCTAGCTTGAAAAAACAAAAGTTGTTTCCAACTCCAAAACCTAGAGTTCATTCCAGACACCTAAAGCGTTTGTAGTGAGAGGTTAACGATTTTGATCATCTTCACATGGAAGCATGATCAATGTATGGTTGCATGGTCGCGCCCTCGATGAAGCAACAACAGATTTGTTTTTGATGTTGTAGTCACTCAGGGGCATCTTGGGTTTGCCCAAAATCAAGACCCAGTTGCAAGCACCAGAGTTCCAGTTACTATGACAAGAGCCAAACTTTCACTTAGCTGCACCAGGTTTGTGCCAGTGAGGGCTCCTTGTGGGAGTGCGCAATGAAACAAGGGTCCTGTCGACGTGTTGGTGAAAAAAAACAAATAACAGCTCAGCGATACCAATTTCACCTCGGTTTCCCAGGAATTTCAGCTGCAGATGCTCTGGAGCATCCCTTTCTGTTGCGTCTCAAGGCGGACGACATTCGGGGAAAACATTTTTTGGCCGATTAAACCAGTTTCTTTTGGCACAATAGAATGACGCAACATGGTGCAGAAAACATTGTCTTCCTCTACGTGTTTATCTGAATATAGGAAGTCCTCTGTGTTCCTCTGTCTACCAACATGTGTATGGTCACCATGGTTTAATGTCACCCATCAAATCCAACTGGAGGGGCGCCGTGGACACCCCGTTGCATCCGACGAACTCGCGACAGTTCCTTTTCACGTCGCTTGGTCGTTCGTCGGCGAAGTCGCTCGCGCTGGCAAGTCGCTCGCGCTGGCAAGTCGCACGGCGGCGCCAGGAACGCTTGGAAGAGGACACGCCGGAGATGCGAAAGGGCAGTTTGGAGAGTTTGGGCCATGCTTCTTCGGCTGCAGAAGAGAGGGTTTTTGGTTTGTTGGTTCGGCTGCGTGTGGGCCTCCCTTATAGGCCCTCTGGATTGTGTTTTGTGTTGCGCGGTTGGGTTTTCGACCGCAATTCGCACCGGAAAAACACATGGCGCGGGTTTCGGCAACCTTTGTGAAATCAGAATTTGCTTGAAACTGTGCATGTTTCGTATCAAATCGGTGGGCAACAAATTTGTTGGATGATGGATCGCATCTGAAAGCATCGTTCAGGCATCCACTGCACCGACTTTGACCAATTGAAAAGTCCTCCGTCATCAAAAAAGGACGACGAGGAGGTCCTGATGCATTGTACAGCATGTTTGCCATCGCTTTGTGAGTCCAGTCTTTTGTGTGCAGGTTCTTTTTGGGGACCTGTCGTTTTGGCCAGCGGGGAAGCGTTTGGGGCGAAGTGAATATCAAAACATATCAAAACCATTCGCTGATCAATCCTGGTTCGAATCGAGAATTGTTTGTGATTTGTATCCCGCTGGCGAACTGGTGGTGTCAGAGATTCGCCTCCCAATGGATTCAATAGATGGGATGGCTTTTGCTGGGTTCAGACTCGGCCCAATACAGTGTTTTCCCTGTAAAGCTCCAGGGAGTCTCCGAGATAAAAATGTTTCAACAGAAACCCTACGCCATTAGGGTGACGACGGCTGTTCATTCATATGATGTCGTTTTTTTGCCAAAACACCTGAGAAAACCGCCGAAGGGTCTCGGAGACCACCTTGGTACCTGTTTTCCTCAAATTGACAGAGCCCACCTAATCGAATCGGATATGGGCCATGTTTTCAAGGAGCAGAAGCTCTCCATGCGGAGTCGGATGTACTCCACGAGTGACCAGTTTCCGCCGGGCGGAGGAAAGCAATTCTCACATCACGTGCCGCTGCCACGCCGTGGTTTTTGTTGTCTCCATCGATGTTTACAGGACCTCCATCCCGAAAAGCTGCAAAAAAAACGACAAAGCAGCACCACCACGGCCGGTCGAAGCATGGGTCACTTGTGTTTGCTAAGATCGGGGAGCGTCACAGCTTGGCCGGAAGAGGTGCCTTCGCTGATCGTAGTCCAGCGCACCTGAATTGCAACGGCCGATCGCAGGTCTTTCCGATCTGAATTCGAACCTGAGCTTGAGAAGCGTTCATCGCTAAGCCGGGGTTTGCATGATTTCGGCATGGGGTCAAGGCATGTGGCATGTCCTTGTGTAAGCTGATCTTGATGTGTGTGTTTTTCCTGTGATCAAGGGTGGAGGTCAGGATGCCTTGTTTTGTTGATTGATATATTTGCAGACTTTTGGCCGGAGTTTTCCCAGCGGCATCACCAGTCGCGACACCCATATCACCTATATTTACTTAATCCGAGCCACTCACTCTGGTCCGGTCCCAAATAGACGACCCATCGAAGTCGCCAGAAGATCGAAAAACATGAAAAACGAAACAAAACACTCGAACTTTGGTTTTCCATTGCTGTTTCGAAGCCGTTTTCCTTTAAGCATGTTTAAGCCCGTTTAGTACATAGAGGTGCCCATTGTGGCTGGGGGGAGGGGGGCGCCCATTGCCTTCAAAACACGGCCACCAGCCACGGTAATGCGGCTTCAGGCACCGGAAAATGCTGAAAGGACCAAACTACTACTGTAGTAGCTTCTAGCTAGTAGCGATGGCCTCAGCTACTAGTAGTACTATAGTATAGTAATGCCCTTGTGAAAATTGCTCACAGTTCTGTTCACATCGCACTTTTGTCAGCGACCTCAAGCCTACTCGCCAATACTTTGAGGTTTGGCTAACAGCTTTCCTATGTTCAGCCGGTCGCTTGGTGCTCTATCCGGACAGACATGTCGAGTCTGTCTCGAGAATGTCTTGCCCCGGAGGGCACGGAGTGACCGAATCGTGAATCGCTGCGCAAGCCTTAGCTGTACAGAGAACGTGAAGCGTCGGTGTGAAGCGTCTGGAAACAGATGGAAACAGATGGAAACAGCGCGTCCGCAGTTGTCATCTGACAAACATACCAATGCTCAGACACGACTAATGGGACTGCCATATTTACATACATTGACCCCTTTTCAACCACCCCAACTGATCGGCAGTCCTATGGCAGTCCCATTAGTCGTGTCTGGGATGTATGTTGTTTTTTCGTAGACAGCTGGATTGGTTGGTGGCCCGCCTTGCTGCAACAAGTTCGGTGTGTTCATTCAGATTGAGTGTCCGCTGCATTTGGTTGCCAGTTATAGTTCAACGTTCGTGGTGCGTTCAGACGCTGACTTGGTCGCAGATGACAAAGTGCCTCGGCGCAGCAAGACTTGGCACTCCGGAGGTGTTTCTGTTTTTGCAAAAAAAACAACTCATGATCTTGCTGAGAAGAACTGAGTGTGTATCACATGCTTTTTCGCCATAAGCTGAGCAAAAGAAGAAAGGCCCCCTTCGCCAGAGAACCACCATTTGCCGCCCAAACACTCGTCCCTCCTGTGCTGGGCATGACGAAACGCCTTTTCCTCCTCAGGCCATTGCTGATCTTTCAGATTGGCACCAACAATTGGCAGCGGCAAGGCGAATTCGCCCCGGGCAGCGGCATTCTCCATGCCTCCTTTCATCAGACCATGAACAGCTCCTTGTCGCCTAATCGCTTCGCTTCGAGTCGAGTCTCACGGGTGGTCCGTGGCCGTCACCCTGTGCGTTCGTGCATCGCTTCTGAGTCGTCTATGGCGTAGCGTCATCGTGAAATAGGCAATTTAAACCCTTAGGAGTGGACTTTGAGGGTCTTGTAGAGAGAGGCCGAGTGGAAGAGGATGATGTAGCTACCCCCTACCGCCCTTGAGCAATAGGATCCTGTGTTATATATATAAGTTCACTTAAGCTTGAAAGATGTCATTCTCAGAACTTGCGGTGTTTTTTCTTCAGACTTGTTCGCGGTGTTTCAAGCTCCTTCGTGGTGCGGATTGCCGAGGTATGGACGGAGTGAAGTGCTTCTCGATTTATCCCAGCAAGGTGCAGACAGATCCTCAGGAGCTGCGGGTCCCGTAGCACGTCGTTGTCTACGACGTTGCGGTCGCTCTTGGTGAAACAAACGACGGATGATTGGAGTATCGTTGTTTTTTCGCTCAGAAGTGTTTTTTAGAAGGGCTTCGTGGATTTGTTTGTGCATGTTTTGCTGAGTGAAACACCTGCTGGACATGCAGCATGCACGAATCCTGAAGCCAGAAAACTTGACACCATCGAATCGTGTTGTTGTGACTGGTGCTTAGCTGCAGGGAATGCCTTGAACGACTTGGAATGAATCCCCGAACGTATAGTATAGAGTCTTTTTTCTTCAGATCCCTCCTGCGCTATGCGAAATAAGCCAAGCAGGATGATGATACCTTTCGCATTTTCAAGATCAAGCACGACATTCCGATCTGCGAGTCGGTGAGCCCCAACAGTTCTTATCGCTGGCATTCCATGGACGACCGCGAATACCAAGGCTACTTGGACCGTTTGGAATCGGAGATTTGTGCATTCATGGATGCCGTGGAGGCCAAGGAGGGCAAGGAGTTTGACTATCTCATCTCCCACCATGCCTTCACCAATGCCATGACCGCGGCCCAAATCGTCGAGCGGCGGCACAAGGAGGGCAAGACCAAGCTCAAGCATTTCAATTTTGTGCATGGCACGGCCCTGAAGATGTACATCAAGGAGAAGGAAGGTGATCCAGAATATCCCATGCGCTTCCTGACCAAAGCTCAAGGCAGTGGCGTCTTCAATGGAATTGGGCATACCCAGGGTGTTTGGGTGAATTCCGAGGACTACATTGGGAAGTTCTTGGATTGCTTTCCCAGCTATCCCAAGGGAAACTGTGTCTTCTCGCGCATCGGCGTGAACCAAAAGATTTTCTGCCCCAGAGGGACTCAAGTAGCCACTTGGCACGGCAGACGAAATCAAGCGGCGACTCAAGCCGTGGACTGGGATTGGAAGATGCGATACAAATATGAAAAGATCGAAGGTCTGAAAGGCACAAGTCTTCAGACTCGGCTTCTTTTTGTGTAGTGTGTTACTTCTTGCAGCTTCCTACGCACCTAGCACACCTGTAGTGTGTTTTGACCTTTGCATCAGACGGGGAACCCTCCCAACCACCCCGGACCCAGTCTGCCAGAGCGGAGCCAAGGCCCAGGACCTGTCGAAGCACTTGCGTGAGGAGGACCGTTGGAAGGTGGGGAGCATGAAGCGTCTCGTGACCTTCGTGGGGAAATTCGCCGATTGGAAGCGCTTGGACGCGGTGCTCTACGCCGCCAAGGAGTATGAGGCGCCTGTCACCGTGGCGTCCTAGTCGCGTCGCGTCCGCGTCTCGTCTTCTCCTCGGTGGTTTGTTGTTGGAGTGTGAGTTGCGGACCTTGTCCTTGGATGAGAGGAGATGTGCGTTTGTTTTTTATTTGTGTGTATGTGTTGGATGTTTGGAAGGTTTTGTGTCTTGACAGGCTTCGGACGGAAGTTGAGGAGAAGGGAAGTTGAAGATGCTCATTGGGATGTCTTTGGCAGAAAGCATGAAACACATTGAACCCTTCCTGTCACAAAGGGTGCCTCATTCTGAGAAACACAAAGCAAAGATTTGAGGACCATAGGCTATAATTAGGTGTGAAGTACTGGATTGAAAATGCAAACTCACACATTGTCATCTTTGTTCCAAAGTAACATATTGATGAGGAAAAAACACATGTGGAAAACAACATGAAAACACATCAGAAACGCAAAGTGTAATTCTCACTTCCATAACACCCCGAATATTTCAAAGACAACACATCAACAAACACGTTCAAAAAGCACACGTGATCCAGGCGTCGTTCTCCCCACACCACCGAAACCACGGACACCTACCGAACCCACCCAAACCCTCTCCGCTCCGCTCCGGCGGCCGCAGGCGACGTTCCCGGACCTGGGCACGGCCATCGTGGGCACCGGGCCGCCGGAGGCGATCGAGATGTACGAAGGGCTCTCGAAGTCCTTGGGACTTCAGAGAACCGTCTTCTTGGGACCCAAAAGCCTCTCGGATGAGGAAGAGGGAGGGAGGGAGAGGGATGAGGAAGAGGAGGGGGAAGGGAGGAAGGGAGGCCGAGCTGAGACCGACCCACAGCATCGATAGAGCGGAAGCAGGAAAGGAATGGACAAAACATGTTACTAAGTTATACTATATATATATAGGCTATATAATTTTTATGTAACTGGAGTATAGGGTGTATAATATGTAGGGTGGGTAGGCGGAACACTAGGACACCACCATGGACATAACAGTTCAAAGGCATGAATTGGAACGGAAAGAGCCTGCACCGCCAGCGCAGGTTGGAGGTGTTTTTAAATGTTTGAATATTCTTGTAGTGATGCATGTTGTCAGCGATTTCAGCTTTGCCGAAGTCATGATCCAAGTAAACGGGGGATGCTAAAAGCCTTGACGGACAAGTGCCCCGGGGTCTTCAAAGCCTTAACTCGTTCAAAAGGAAAGGCACAATGAGCCTCAATGCACATCTTTGAGGTCCCAACACTTGATCCAAGGTCAAGATGTACTTGCAGAGCTCTTCTCCATGTCAGAGGTGGGCATGTTCCCATCCTACAAGGAGCCTTGATGAACAGAAAATGATGGATATAGACCTCTGACGACATGTCATTCATTATCTCGTTCTTGTCTATCAGTTTCTAACTTAAGTCAATGTTTTGTTATGGGTTCCCATGCATCGAGATTCCCATATTCCCATATGGTGAGTGTTCCATGGGCTTCGCTCTTTGCTTCGACCTGGCATGACCCCGATGAGTCCCGAGTCAAGTCGAAAGGAGCCTTTTGGAATGGTCTTCATCGAGTGCATGGCCTGTGGCACTCCGACCATCGGTGCCAACAGTGGAGGCCCCACGGAGTTCGTGAAGCCCGAGCAGGGAGTCCTCGTGGACGAGGAACCTGATTGGCGAACAGAGGTTGGCATGAAGAGGCGAGGGGGGCACTCGGTGCGGGGGGGAAGCTTCTTGTGTCTTGTGGTGCGTTGCTTTCTTTTGTCTTGGCGGTGAAAATGAATCACAACGTCACGATGGCTGTGGGTCAGAGAATCACTGGCAACTAACTATAGTCCCTAGGGATCCAAGTACGTCCTCAGAAGGTACTTGGACCCTCCAAACCTACATAATAAGCAGTCTCCAATCACCTTCTGACAAGGTGATTCAGGGTCGGTCGGTCTGAACCTCTCGTCTGCCGGATCGCTGCCGACCGCGGACCCTCGCCTCGCCCAGCCATTCCGCGGACGACCGAGGCTTGGTTCCAAGGTCGCCGCCCAAGTCACCAAGGCCTTGCAGATGGATTGGAAGAAGCGGATGGGACGAGGCCAGGAGTTGAAGTCGTGGGATGAGAGTCGCACCGAGAGCTGCAGCTGCCAGCGGTGTGTGACGACGCCGGGCCGGTGGTTGTGACGACTGTGACGAGTGAAAAAGGGTGTGCATAAAGACGCCCCCGAAAGAAGTCAAACCGTCAAACCGGTGTGCAAACCGGTGAACCTCCTCCCAGGTAAGTCGTCTATTTTCTATTCCTTAGGTGGGCCAGAACCGCTCGGTGTCCCGGTTCCCTGACCCAATCCTTCCGCCGGAAGGCAGAGTTGACCACGTCGATTCCACGTTTTTTCCCCTTCCTTCGCCTGTCCTGCTTCCCTCCTCACAGTCTGCCCGGGGACCGTGGACCGTTTTGTTCTGTTTGGGTTTGGTTTGTTGACGTAAGGTTCGGCTGAGCCGTGTCGTGGCGCCTCAGGTTGCGTCGATTTTGTGACCACGAACTTCTCCACCTTGGCACAAGTTCGTGGGATGTTGGCCAATATGGAGGACCGAAGGGCGGGTGAAGGGCAACTTCTTTTTCACTGAGAATGGACTATCACAAACATGAACACCAGCGACCAGAATTCTGATCATTTCACCCAAACTCCGGATTTCTACCAACCTTCACTTTGAGGGATTGGCTAAATTGAGTGTGCAGCCTTCACCGAATGGCTCCAGACGTCAGCAGAGAGACGTGAACCCGCGGCGGTGACCTGACGGAGGAGTGGTCCAGTGGTGCCGACGTGGCGCAATGCTTCCGCAGCTGTAGCAGCAGTGGCCAGATCTCCAAGCGGCAGCTGATGCTGGTGCTGCAGAAAATCCTTCCAGGCCGAAAGCGGCAGCAGCGAGTTTGTTATTTGTTTCTTCCAAGCCAGAAAGTGTATGTATGATGATTTGCCTTTGACAGTGGTGGTCTCCAGCAATACTTGTTTCAAGTTTGGCTCTATTTTTTGTTATGGAGAACCCTTTGAAGGCCAACTCTGATACATGATGCGTTTCCTTGCATTTTGCAGCATTGCTCGATTTGCTCCTATTGTTATGTCTTTGAGGCTTGTGACTAGTCCAAAGCAAACCATCGAATTGTTGCGAACCCTTGGAGGACGCCACTCAGCTGCTTTGGAACAAATGGTGGAAAGCTCTGGCGCTTCGCGTGGTGAGGCCCGGGAGGGAACATGGACCCGAAACCGCCCATAAACAGAAATTCTATAGGTCCTACACAGGTGGATTCTACTGTGTTGGGATGTTTAGTGGTGGAAAGTACCTGGATGGTCCAAGAAAAGTGGAGTTTATACAGGAGATTTGGGAGTTTTAATTAGTGATGGAAAGTACCTGGGATTGATACCAATCCCTGACTTGGCGTCAGAGCACCGTTCTCCACCCATTATGGTCAAAGCCAAGTGCCCACATGGTCTTGCCATGGTTGCTTGGCAAGATGCACCAAACCAACAAGAAGCGCCAGCGCAAAGTACCTTTAAACAATGAGTTTTTCACCTTGGACGTGTGAATGGGTGCACTGAGCTGGAGGGGGATATTCTCTTTGAAGCTGCGTGCACTGGGCAGAAATTCTCCTAGTTGGTGGCTCTGAATGGCTCTTTGATCAACCACAAGGTTTGCCATCTCAGGAAGACCCAGAGTCCCAGTATGGGATCAGATGATGGTGATTTGCGTAATGTCTTGCAGATGTTGCAGATGTAAGATTTAATGAAGGATGAATTAATTTATGCCAGATTTGGAGAGAATTGGAAGTGGTCCGCCTACTACCACCGTCAGTTGCTCACAGGTGGTGGATTATGAGAAGTTCATGGCTTTCCTGATGCAGCCATAGATCGCTTAGAGGCGCCAGAAAGTTGGACGAAGACCCGACCACATGACCACGAAAGCTGGCGCAGTTCAGCAGTGTTCTCAGTTTCTAAGGAATAGTGTCCCGCATGTATTGCTGGGATGAAATCGAATGTCCGGCACCTATCGGAGAGCTTTTCGTTTCCGTTCGACGTTCAGCCCATCAATCGGCCTCCGGGGGAGACGTTTGGCCTACCGAGACGATGAGGGCAGCTTTGCGTGACTGAGCGCCATCTCTTGAGAAGTGGCGCTCTTCCAAGAAGGGGCCATTGCGATCCACTTAAGAAGACTTGGTATGGGTCAAAGAAAAAAAACATGTGCTAACTCAAACTCCTATATACTTAGAGAAATCCTGTGGACATATAATATAGACTCGGTGGTACATCGGTACATCATGGTACAGTGGTACATCCATTTTTTTGTGTCCCACAACCTGTGATGTAACATTTGCCAACACCACATCGATGTTGGTCATTGGGACCCATGCCCAGTCGTGATCGTAAAGAGTCTTTTTCCCACGTCCCGGACCTTTACACCGAGAAACGACGGATGGCACTTCCGTTCAACGACGGATGTCCCGATGTCTCGAGCATTGCTCAGTTGCCGATGGAAGTTGAACTCTGATGGAATTCCCCTCAGTTGCAAACCGGGCGCAGTGAAGCAAACATAGACAAGTCACTCACGGTTTCCGTTTAATCGATTTCGCAGAGTTCAGGTCTTTCGTTGGGCGTTTCATGAGATTTGCCGTTTGCAAGGCAGCCAAAAAGGAAGGATTTGCATCCAGGTCAAGGTACACTTGTGTTAGTTCGCTCTTATTTTGTGTGTGATTGTCGTGTACTGTTCTTTGCACGCGTGCCTCTTCTCCATACGACCAACATCGTACAACCTTTGAAGATGATCCCCGGCCCTTGTCACCGCCCTCGTTTCATGATCGGCACCCGTTGTCGGTGACAAGGCCGCCATTCGGCCTCTGTCACTGTCGCCCAAGAGGGCAGATCCCGGATGTGAAGTGAGGGCGTAGGCATTTCTTCAGGACCATCAACGATCCGAGAGAGAGAAAGACCATGAAAGACTTACTGTATGATTCCTGACAAGGTCTACTCCCTTGCAATTCGGAGCCACATGGAACCCCAAGGCCACTGGGTTGTAGAGTTCGAGAAAAGATTCTCGAAACCAATTCTCAGGTTTCATGTTAGTTTGCAGGAGAGTTCAACAAAAAAATGACCCAGAATCTGCATGATAACCTGGTAGTTGTACTGCTTCGTTCACCCCAAAACCACCGGTCAGAGGCCGAAGCATCGCCACTTTGACCGGCTGCGCCGTGTGGCGCCGTGCGTGTGAGGCAGTCCCTTTTGGACATCTAGATCGATGTTCTTTTTTGTTGGCTCAGACGCGTTAAGCCAGCTTTTGGCAACAAAAGTGTTGGATTTTCCGCATGGCTTCAACATATATTCTACAATGCTCATTCGGTGGTAGGTCACACAAAAGTCGTAGAGCCTATCAGCCTCTTGTTGCCTATAGCCTATAGTCAGTCAGATTCCAGTTGCAGCAAGCGAAAGATCGTGTTTTCTGCACAGCAAAAGGAGTCAAACTGACAACTCTTGAAGAGTCTGGTTGGTGTTACTCTGAACAACTTTACCTCTCAGACGCACCTGCAGTTTTGAGCCACCTTGACCATGGCGAAGAAGGCCGGGGGTAGAGCGTGGAAGCTTTCAAGTGCCTGAGCGTCTTTATATGCATATCCGGCATTTAATGGACAAAATCCCTCTGACTGACCGCTATTAGCTTCTGTAGACTCTCAGTAATTAGATACAGGAAGACCTTATAACAATAGAAAGGCCATGAAAGGCCTAAAATACAATACTTCCTGCAGAGATTTGATTCGTTTTCGTGCTGGCATCGGACCGTTTCAAGCTGGTTCCTCGCGATGTTCCTCGTGCTCAGTTGAGACAGAAATGCTGATCTGTTCACTTTTCTGGATGCAGATTGCATGTTGAGACAGGTGCTGAAGGCAATGAAGAAAAAGAAGGATGACAGTGTGGCAGCCGCGGCCGCCACCGCGGCCACCTCGGCAGCGGCGAGTGCACCAGGTACCAAGGGCACCAGGTACCATGATGCAAAGAAACTTGTGAAACACTGTGAGATGCGCCAGGCCCCAAAAAGAAGCTTAAGAAGCTCAAGAAGAAAAAGGCCAGTCTGGCTTTTGTCCATACAGCTTCATCCCTGCAGTTCTTCTCCCGAACCGGGAGGAAGAAAGGTAAAGCACGACGACGACCTACCGTCCTACGCCGCTGCCGCCCGACCCGAGGCGACGCTACCGTCCACGACGGAGGACGACACGCGGAACGGGTCGTGCGAGAAGAAGACGCTTCTCGGACTGGAAGAGGTGGAGCCCAAAGGTCAGATGTCAGGACCCATCTCGATCTAGAGGTCGATTGAAGATTCTTCGTGAACGGGCAGCCGCGAGACATGGAACATTATATAGACCTGCGGAACCTAAAACCTGAGAATTGTTCGTCGTTTGGCACAATCTTTTTTATGTTGGAATGAGTATTGACATGTCTGTACGGGCATTCATATGGTCACAGACGATGTGTACCAAAAACATGGCATATGATAAACCTCTCACACTCCTGAAGCAAGCATGTGTTGTCTTATCGCTTCTCTCGCATCCACATCATCACCTGCACACAGTACCTTTGGTAGATCATGCCTGGATCTTCCAGCTATGCAAAAGAAAACGCATGCCCCTTGGCTGGTCTTTTTGGGATGAAACGGCCAACATGACGCACCGGTGGAAACTTCGCCGTTGCTCGCCGTTGCTCGTCGCTCGTCGCGACCAAGGACCAAAGCTACGAAGCAAGAGAACTCGAGCTGCGATCTTTGTGATGGCCTGGTGCCGGCTGAAGGATCTTCTCGTTGCTCTGCTCACAAACAAAGGACTGACGTAGTACTTAAAGGATCCGGTTTTGGAACCAACGGAGTGTAGCAGAAAGTTCGCTTCACGTGTAGCTTGGCGGTCCAGACCATGTCAAGGAACCTCCCTTGTTACAGGGGTCAAAGATGTAGATGTTCAAAACAACATTTGTCCATCGGCACTGTCCAATTAATTACTCCGTTTCCAACTGCGCGCAGCGTGGCGGTTTTGCTCGTGTTCAGCTGCTCCAAGGCTGCCGAGCCTGTGGGCGGACCATTCAAGCGGAAGCGTGAAAAATGGACGTCGATGTCAGATTCCGCCCAAGTGTCAATCCCGATTGCCGTTTTGAGATCCGAATTCTTTCCAAAAACAAAAGATATATATATATGCATATCATATAATACTGAATACATATGCCCCGTGATTTTTGGGTGGCACTTCGATAGGCCAACCGTCCCTATGTTTTGACTTATGCCACACCGCTGTTCGATGTTTGCCGGTTTCCTCCGACGAGGCGTCTTTGCGGACGGTCTTTTGGGGACGCCACCAGACCTCTCCACCAGACCCAAAGATCAGGAGCTCTTTTGGAGCTACGGGATGATCAAGACACACACAGCTTATAGGATTTGTTCAATTAATCCTGGTTGGAACCATGGTGAAACCGAGGATTGATATATGATATACTTGAAAGCTCGGATTTTTTGGTTTAACCATGTGCTCCCTAGGAGCCATGGTGTCGAGGCGAACGTAAATTCCTTCAGTCAAGACGTCGGGCAAATGCGGAAATCCACAAAGATTTCGGCTTCGAGGTTTCAAAAGGTGTGGGCCTTGCGAATTTCAAAAGGTTTGGGCTCAATCAGGAAAAGTAGGGCAATGATCAAGTATAGGCCCGTGGCTGGCCGACGCGTTGTTTTTCTTTGGTTTGCTCATGGCAGACCTAGAGTGTCACGACACAACCTTCTTAAAACCGGAAGGGAACCCTCAACATTTGGGGAATAGGATGAGATGCACTTTCGTTTGTAAGTGGGAAGCACTGGGAAGAACGGACGGCTGATGGCTTCAAACGCGCCTCGAAAGTGTGGTATGCGAAAGCTTGGCACCATGATGGGTGCAGAAGAAGGGGAAGAAGGCGTCGGAAGATGTTTGTTCTGGGGGAAGCAAAGCGTCACACTCCGGGTTTGCAAGTTAAAGGAAAGTATGATGTATTGCTTAAAAGTACCATCAAAGGTAGAAGGAAAGAGTTGTTGCTTTTGTTTTGCTGCTTCAAGGTACTCAAACGTAGATGTACAATTGCCCCCAGATGTAGAAGGAAAGAGTGCAGCTGACCACCCACGAAGCGCAAGTGCTTTGGCCAGCTGAGCTTGGCGCCAGGTGCACCGTAAGTGCTGATGTGACCACATGCCAACGGAAAGGTAAATAAACAAGGCCGGCACAACATGGTTTGTTGAGAGTTTGTGACGTTCGTGACAATGAAGTGACACATGTTGCTTTTAGAACAGAACCAGCGATCATAAGCTTCCTGTGCTGTTGCTCTCGTACGATTCATTGGGATTCTGGCCCAAGTCAAGTGCGCTAATTTTCACTGGTAGATGTGTCTCTCACACTAGGCCTTTACTATCATCATCCACTGGGCCAATAGGATATAGACCCAACATCAATGGGTTTATTCGTTCGCTACTAGTAACAAGAAGCTACGATCGGGGCTCCTGGCCTTACTACTATAGGAGCAAGGACGCTACTAGGAGCAAAAGGGCATCGCTACTAGGAGCAAGGACACTACTAGGGGCTCCTGGCATCGACTTGTCATCCATTAAGATAGGCGCCAACTGTGCCTCGTTTTCACCGGTGACGAGGTGGGCTCGGGAATGGAAGAGCAGGGTCGGTAAGGGGTCTTTGATATGGATAGATCGGATAGCTGTTTGGCAATGAGACAGTTGTAGTTTTGCTCTGATTTTTACAGTTTAAATGAACACCACTTCAACTTTAGCTTCGATTGATTCTCTTCCACGTGTATGGAAGATGCTGGAACAGGTATTCAAAACAGATTACTCAGGTTGAACAAGTTCATG